ATAAATAAATAAATAAATAAAATATGAACTGGCCAGAATTCCATTCTGGGATGCTGTTGGGCAGGCACCCAGGAATACAACCAGCACCTCATTAATGAGCACCAATTTGCCATAAAGGCCTATACAATTTCCCTTATGCAACCATAAATCAGCACCAGGATTCTTAGAAATGACCACTAAAAAAAATTAAGTTCATTACTACATAACCTAGATGTGTGTTTCACATGAGGGAACAGAATTCCATTCTGGGATGCTGTTGGGCAGGCACCCAGGAATACAACCAGCACCTCATTAATGAGCACCAATTTGCCATAAAGGCCTATACAATTTCCCTTATGCAACCATAAATCAGCACCAGGATTCTTAGAAATGACCACTAAAAAAAATTAAGTTCATTACTACATAACCTAGATGTGTGTTTCACATGAGGGAATGCAATACATTATGTGAAGTCAATTTTAATGGATGTAACAGACTGGTTAAAAATATTTTCCATAATACTGGAAAATGCTAGCAGCCTAAGCATCTCTCTGGGCACAGGATGCATACTAAACGTCAGGTGAAAAAATCTTAAGATCTGGGGTGGTTGACATGGGAGTAAGGACAACCTCAAGATTTTCTGACTCCAGGGCTTTGTTAAGATTTTTGTTTTTAAAAAAGCACTTTGCACTGGGCACAAACCAAAAATCTTAGAAATGCTTTCAATAACTTGTGTTACATTTTTGGAGTCTGGTTGTCACATTTTGGAACAGCTGTAAATTTTAAGCATTTTTTTTTTTGCCAGCAATCCCACATAGTGTATGTTGCAGCTATTGACAGATGAGGAGATAATAGCAAGGGATGTTGTGTCCACATCCACCTTCACTAGAAAGGGACACAGCTGTTACCAGAGGTAAAACCGGGCAAAGGCATTCATGGGAGCACTGCTTCTTCAATATCAAACAACAGCACTGGAACCAAAGCATTCCCAAAGAGCTTGACTTTTCACAAGGAGCACACCTCCATCTCACATACTGTAAGTGGTACTTCCAATCCCAGGTTGGACCTTCTAGCGACCACATCTTTGTCGACCTTACACCTCAGTTTATACACCCACATCCAGTCCCTCACTTTCCCCAGAAAAGCTCTCAGGACTTCCACAGCTGTTGTGGCATACATAATTTGGAAAACAGATAGAAGTGGATATCAAAACACTGATCTGCCATGTAATACTGTTCTAGTTTCCTCTTATTTTTCTCATGTATTTAAAACAAATAGCCTAAAAATAAAAAAGGCAGTTTTCAATATGGTAAAGGTCATAACCTACCAAGCTATGCAACAATATCTGATATATACACATCACTGCTAAACTTTTGCTGGTCTCCCAGGGACACATGCAGCTAAACAGGATGTCTGTTTCTTCAGACAACATGCTTAACTCAAAACACTAAAAAAAAGTATTCTGTGTTCAACACAAAAGACCCTTTAAATGTAGGTTGAATTCTCCTTCAATTCAAATGGAACTTGCCTTGTTTTTGCTCACAGTTGACTGCACAACCTAGAATAAGCTGAAGCATTCTTCCAAGTTCAGCAGCATCTGAATGCTCCCCAATCAGGTTGACATCAGGAAGGATGAAATCATTGATTTGCTGCCCCAAAATCTGTGCAAAGGCAAAAATACAATGATATCAACAAGCAGACATTGTATTTAGTAGATTGAGAGCCCTTTTCCAATGTTTGAGATGTTCTGCACTCTCAAGAGCAAAGTAGTAAAATAACAGGAAATGTATAATCCTCTAGATATTGTTTGATTCTACCTCCCATCATTCCTAGTCAACACACTCTATGGTTGGGATGACAGGAGTTGCTGAGTTCAGCAGTAGACCTAAGTCCACCAAGCAACTGCAACTGAACAATAGGGTGTGGTGTTAATCCTAATAAGAAAACAGGGGTACACCCATCCCCTGCCTGCAGATTTTACTCTGCAATTCAGTCTACCATGCAGCTGCAAGGACACCTGCTAATTTCTCTCTCACTTCTTCACTCATGAGAGCTTAGAAAATGATGTCTTCCCCACATTTGACATCCAAAGATGGAGTTTATACCTCAGATAAAGGCCTGGGGTGAAATTTATTTTATTTATTAAAATATGTTTACCCTGTCTTTTTCCTTTAAAAGGACCCAATGTAGCTTATATCAAAAGACGATATTTAAAGCTAAAAGTAGTAAGTATACAAATATTTCTTTTAATGATGTTTTATAACTGCTTGTAAGCAGCCCCGAGTAGACTCTGTCTAGAGGGGCGGGGTAGAAATCGAATGAATGAATGAATGAATGAATGAATGAATGAATGAATAAATAAATAAATAAATGAATGAATGAATGAATGAATGCAGCAAACACCAAAACACATTAGAAGCAGTAGCACACAGCAGTCCATTCAAAAACCCCACTAAGTCAGGGAAAGCTTGCCTGATGGGAAAGTTTTTTGCCTGCTTGTAGAAGGACAGCAGAGATGGGGCCAGTCTGGCCTCCTGTGGGAGGGAGTTCCAGAGTCTGGGAGCAGTGACAGAGAATGCCTTCTCCCATGTCCTTACCAGATGTACGTATAAAGATGGTGGGACCCAGAGAAGTGCCTCTCCTGATGATCTTACTCTCTGGCCAGGCTCATAAATGGAGACACAGTCCTTGAGATAGCTTGGACCCAAGCTGTTTAGGGCTTTATAGGTTAGAACCAACACTTTGAATTGTATCCAGAAGTGGATCAGCAGCCAATGCAGCTGATGTAACACAAGGATTATGTGAGCCCTATGACCAGCCCCAGTTAGTAATCTGGCTGCTGGCGTTTTGGGCACACTGAAGCTTCTGAGCACTTTCCAAAAGCAGCCCCATGTACAGCGTGTTACAGTAATCCATCCGGGATGTAACGAATGCATGTGGCCAGATCAGACCTCTCCAGGAATGGGTGCAGTTGGTGCACTAGTTTTAATTGTGCAAATGCACTCCTGGGCGTTGCCAAAACCTGGTCATCCAGGCTCAGAGATTAATCCAAAAGCAGCCTCAAGCTGCGCACCTGTGTTTTCAGAGGGAATATAACCTCTTCCAGCACAGGCCGCATCCCTATTCCTTGCCTTTTGACTGACCAGGAGCACCTCTGACTTGTCTGGATTAAGTTTCAGTTTATCCACCCTCATCCCGTCCATTATTCACACCAGACACTGATCTAGAGCCGAAACAGAAGCAAGTTGGCTTCTATTTGTACAGTTGATACTAATACTACTGCAGGTATTTGCTATGGCGAAAACATAGTATAAGCAAAATTTCTGAACTTAAATAGCAAAACTTTGACATTGAGTACAACAGCATGCTATTGCTCAGTCAAAATAAAACTGATTTTATTCAGACATGTGCTTTGGTTCCCAGAAGCTCTAGACCAGTGATCCTCAACGTTGGGCCTCCAGATGTTTTTGAACTACAACTCCCAAAAGCCTTCGCTACCACCTCTGCTGGCCAAGATTTCTGGGAGTTGAAGTCCAAGAACATCTGGAGGCCCAAGATTGGGGACCACTGCTCTAGACCAGTGGCTCCCAACCTTGAGTAACCCAGGTACTCTTGGACTGCAGTTCCCAGAAGCCTTCACCACCAGAAGTGCTGGCCAAGCTTTCTGAGAGCTGCAGTCCAAGAACACCTGTTTTATCCAAGACTGGGAGTCACCGCTTTAAACAGTTACTTCCATAATCTATTATACTGGCCATGCCAGCTGGTTTCTCAGAATTAAGTCTAAAATGTCTGAAGAACTAAATGTTTTCTTGATTTGAATCAAGATTGATATGGGTAGCTTCCCACTTCAAAACATAACCATAATACTAATGGCAGAGAAAAAAGGGTTTAGTAAGTCCCTTTGTTATAGTCTTCCACAGTGTATTTGCTGTATTCCCTGTCGTCTTTGTGAAACCAGAGGAAATCTTAACCAGAAGAAATGTCCAGTGGAAATAAACAGAATTGTATTTAGTTCTTTTTGTGTTGCCTGCATAATTAAGTCTGTCAAGAAAATCAATTTCGTAGGACTTACTACTTAATTCAAATGTCTTCTGGAGAGATAAGAGATATGATTTTGGCATCAAAGAGATATAGCCTTTTTATTTGAATTAAGGAGAGACTGTACACAAATACATCTTGAGCTGTATTGTTTTGATAATTTTACATAATCTCCAAAACAATTTGTCTATAAAACCATATATTTAATCTAAACAGACTGTCAAAAGTGTAAAGACTATCACTGAAACAGATCTAATAAAGAAATCATGTGATAAAGCATCTGTTATAGTTTAAAAAGAGAAAAGCTTGCCAGCAAAGCCCAACAAGAGTTTAAAAGCAATGGGGGAAAAACATGGTACAGGACAAAGATTCTTTTTTCTATATTATTCTTGACAAAATAAATTAGTTACATTAAACAAGCGCACTTTTATCCTTAATAATTCTTCATTCACAAGTTACACAAAGAGAATAATGAAATTTGTGACAGAAGTTAAATGAAATGCAAAAAGCCTTTACCTCATGATTGTAATCCAAAATTCCTTTTAAAATTTTCTTCAGATTGCTCACCTTTCAGAAGGGAAAGAAAAAAATATTCAGAAAATGGGACAAAAAATGGGACAGAAAATGGGACAGAAGCAAATTAATCAATTGGACTCTAGTAGTATTTATATTTGTAGCTAGAAGCAGAAGCTTTAAAAAAAATTTTTTTTGCCTAAAACAACCAATCATTAAGATCACAAAATTACGATTCTGTGATTGAATTATTTTCTGATTTCCAGATTTCCCCTTATATTTAAAGGGGACACAGAAAAAAATCAACAGACATGGGGACTACTTACACCAATGAATTTGTGGATTGGCTCTATACTCTCATGTGCCTCCCATATGTAAGGATGATTTCCTTCTGCAAGTTAGAATTTAAAATGCATTTTGTCTCACACTGTGAACTCTATGCAAAACAAGCAAGGTTTCTTCTTCCTTACTTTGCCAGTACTGTATTTGCCTGTCCATTTTGGCACAACTTCAGATACAGCCTTCAGCGAGAACATCCCATGAATTTAGCATTCTTTTTCTTAGGGCATGATATTTAATTGGACTTTTAAAAAGCAGTTACTATTATTTAAATAACAATGTTTCAAATATTTACACAAAACATGAAGTGTCTTTTGGCTGTAATTAAGTATCTTAGTTTTTTGTTCTCTGAGTTTCCCAAAAGCGAAAACAAGCTCTTCTTTGTGAGGGGGATAACAGGCAAGAATACAAGGTATGTATTAGTATTGTATTATTAATCTATTGGGGTAATAGCCAAATATGCAACACATTCCTCACTCACTACTTCAATTTTTTGTTTTGTATTTTGAGAATTAAAAAAATAGGCACCGAGTTCTCAATAGATCCTTATAAACAGTTTCATACACAGCCTTGAGATCAGTTCTAGTGACAGAACCTGTTCTATGACTCTTGGGACAAATTCAAACGCTCTTGAGATGACCCATTGGCAGCATTACTTCCATGGTTCTTTGTGCAGCTAGCAGTACAGTATTTTAATTGTGTTGCAAATATCTTCACTTGATAGGAAAATCATGCAATTCTCCATCTCCAGTTCTTCAGGTGTGAGGGAGGAGAATGCTGATAAGTCATCTGCAGGCAGCAGAAGTCCTAGGATGTATCTGAATTATGTATTTGTATTTGGTGACAAACAGAAAAACATCCTTTCATTATCAGTGCCATTTCCTTCTCAAGCTGTTTTTACATTCACTATGTTTCACAAGGACAGAGCCATTTAATGCATGCCAACAAGAACCATCAAGGACTCAACAGATCAACTATGAATCACCACAAGGCCAGAGAAGAAGAAGAAAAGCAATTTTAATGTATTATGTTCTCTGTGACAATAATACCACCAAGAAACAATTAAGCAAACATTTCAGCAAGACTTTTAGAAGCTTTAAAATGAATAGACATGGAGTGAGTAATGAGCATAGGTATACAGCCTTTCCTTCCCACTGCTTGATTTTAACCACCAAAGAGGAGCCTGGGACTCAAGGGCAAAGGTCCAGTTTTACCTCCACATCAGCAGGTTAGACTGAAAAAAGACTCCAAAGAAAGCAACTTTGTTGTACTGCAAAAATGTACTGCAAATATAAAGAAGATTAATTCAGTCTTTTCAGCAATGTTGTAGAGTAAACATGTGGTCAACCACATGTTTACACTTGGAAGATAATGGAGGGATGCCAGAAAGGGATAAGCCTACACAATACAGCTGACTGGCAGAAAGTTACCACAGCCACTGCTTGCTCTGTCCTTCCATTGAGCAGCCGGCTTTCCTGCAGCACCTTTTAAATAGGCACAGGCTCATTTATTCTTTCTTGATGTCATCTATCCTGCCACATTCCCCACATCCAGTTGAAATGTGGCACCTCTTCCTCACTTACTAAAGTAAGTTGCAACTAGAATAGGCCCATTTGAATCACTGGAATTTAGGGAGGAGTGTCTCACCATATCCCCACTGATTCAGTTGGTCTCCTCTCATTGCAACTTACCACATTAAGTGACAGGATTTCAACTTAAATGTATGTTTGGGCTTGGGGAAAGAGGTTCAAGAACTGTGGTTCAACTGAACCTTTACAGACAAATGGCAGTTTGAATAAGATCTGAAGGCCTGGAGAAAGATATTCCTTCTTCCCCTACCTTCCCCAACCCCTTCAAAAAGGTGAAAGTACTTACATTTTTACAGAGGGCTTTATTTTTTTGCAACAACTCCATTTGTCTCTAGATAAAGGGTCCCCAAACTTTTCAGTATGAGGGTCACATCATATATTTTATACATTTTCAAGGGCTGAAGGAGGGAAGATGGTCCTAAGCGATCCCCCCGCTGTATTTACAAAGACAGTGGGAGTGAGGGAATGCTTGGGTCCCCCTTCCCTCCTCTTCCTATGCCCAGGCCAGATGTGGCCCGCGGGCCATAGTTTGGAGAACCCTGCTCTAGATTACCAAATATTTCCTATTTTCACGCTTACTCACAAGCTAAGGTAACTCTAACTTGAACAAGTTTAATCTGAGCCTGGTAATAACCAGGAATAACTCTCCAAGGAAGTTGTCTTATGTATCTGTCCCCTTATGGACAAAAAGGAAGATCATCAGGACCTTTAGAAGTGAAGAAGCAATATAATTCTGTCTTAGTCAATTTTCTGGAGAACGCAGCTTGTAAACAGATCCCAATTTAGTTTAAGAAATTAAACATTTTAAATAATAGCTTCTGTACAGTTCCACTAAACCCTCAAGAGTAACAAAAGCACATTGTGGGTGGGCTGAGTTGAAATATCACAAAAGAACAATTATTGTAAGAGAATCCATTAAGTATGAAATGGCAAAACATGGTGGAAAGTTTTTCAAAACATGGAAGTATTAAGAAATAATTACTGTGCATTTAATCTAGGCTGACATTAGTAATTTTTTTTAATCTATAACCCATCTCAACTATTCAAGAAATACACACAAAACTGCAATAGCTTGTGACCTAAAAGCAGATATTATGATAAGCAATTAAAATACCTTCAGTCGCCAATTGTCTCCTACTTCTGTTTTGATTCTGTTTAACCAGTTTTCATCAAAATATGTTGGATCTCTGGAAAAAAAAGTAGAATATTTGCTGACAATATTTTGCTAAACAAAGTCAACAGATTCTCACTTAAAAGTGAGAATGGACTTTCCACATTGTTTCTATTTGCCTGCATGGAATACATTGTGCACCATGTTCACCAGGGCCAAATGGAGCTTTTCAAAGTAAGTTTACAACTTTATCCAGAAGTCTCCTGTTAATTCCCTATAATTCTTGTATCATCTACTGCAGTGGTTTTCAAGGAACCCTAGAATACCTCAGGGAGTTTATTGCAAGGTCCCCAATTACAAGATCAATAATTATGAACCAGTTCCTTTGAACAAAAGAATTACAAAGCTTTTCTGCAACACATCACTGTAGGAAATGTTGGGTGTGTCCTCAAACACTTTCTTTTCCTTGTGAGCAACAGTAGGGTCCAGCAAACCTGGCAAAGACCTGAATGTCTTCCAGAAACTAAAACTGTACATTGATACTCCTTTGAGGATAATCCAAGTGTTGCTTAGTAGAAACGTTCATGCAGAAAGGATTTCCTGAAGCTATAAAGGTATGACAACCTGTGAGCTGTAAAACAAGGTATTTTATACAATATGTAAGATATTTCAATTTTTTAATCTGTACACATTAAATCTGTCTCAGATTCAAAAATGCATTTGAAAGCAAGCTACTTAAGGATCTTTGAAACCCATACACATAGAGAACATATTTTCAGTTTCAAAGTCTCATCTTACTGTGTTAACTTAGTAACCATGGGCAAAATTAGAAAGCAGAACTTTATATTGAGCAAATGTACACTGTGCCACCTATCTGCAGATTTTAATTTTTTTTAACCCTAAACTAATAGGTAGGATGTAAAGTACCATGAAACAAATTCAGTTAACCATGGGTGCATCAGATTTGTACTTCTTGGAAAACAGTTTTCTCTAACCCCCACTCCCTAC